CACCAATAAGGATATAGAACTAGGTTCTCTGTCCCACTTCGATTGCCAAATACTATAATCTATCCTAAAGCATCCTGGATATAAATTATTTCAACTCCTACCCTCAAAATGAGGCTATAGGGCACTGCGCACCCAAACAATTAGACACCAGAACAGTTTTTTTCCCCCGAACGCCACCCCTCTGCTAAACAAATACTCCCCTCACCACTGACGAACCATTAACTAAGGCTGCATTACTATTACTATCAGTCTTCTCATCCTTCCTATCACCCATCTCCTCCCACTTATGACTGCAGGGCTGTAACTTTATTGCTTGTATCCTTACTATGTATATTGATATTGTTTCCTGATTGCTTATTGCTTATTTGTATCCTATGACTATCATTAAATTACAAAATATAGGATTCTTGACGAATATACATTTTTTTCCTTTTATGCACACTAAGAGCATACGCACCAAAGACAAATTCCTTGTGGGTCCAACCACCCATGGCCAATAAAGAATTCTATTTCTACCATTGGAACTTGCCCCTCCCCTGGGAGACTGTGGAGCGAGACCATTCCCCTAATTAATAAAATAATTACCAGCCTGATGAGACGTGCTTCGAAGGGACAGGTGGGGGACCCGAAGTGGGAGACCCAGGCCCCCTATTTCCAAACCACATACATCTTTTTTTTAAAAATGCCACGATGGAGAAAGACCGCTTCCCCGTGGAAACCTAACCCCAACCACACCGCGGCACCAGCAAAAACATGTAGCCCGCCGCGGTCGAGGCGTCGCCCCTGCCCGTCAGCCAATTCAACCTTTATTCTCCAAGCCCCCCGCCCCAAATCTCTGCCCTCCTTACTGTACCGAGAGATTTCATATAGTCGTCGAAATAAGCGCTGTCCACCAGTTTCCAGACTCCGACAAACGCCTCCGCCATGGCTAGCCTGAAAATTGCTTTTTTTCCCCTCGGTCTCTCCTCCGAAATGCAACAGCGGCCGGCTCAGCAAACACACGCTCTCCCTCTCTGGCTGTCGCGCCCGCTTTCCGACGGGGCTCGCCTTTTATTTCTTCCTCCTCCTCCACCTCCTCTACCCCTCCCACCGGCCGGCGCCCTCCTCCTCCTCCTCCTCCTCGCGCGGTGGGTCTCTTTAAATAGAAGGATGTGGGAATCTGTCGCATTGCTCTCGCCTAGCGCCGGGATGGGATCGCTCCCTCTTTGCCAAGCCCGCCGGGCGCCTTTGCGAGGATCGTTTGCTGCGCTGCCCTCGGCAAAGCCGCGCCCGCGCCTCTCTAATCGTGTCTTTTTGGGGTTTTGTTTCAGAAGCTCGCCAGCGCAATCCGGCCTGCCAGCGGCTGCAGGACAGGCTAGGATTCAGAGGGGGGGGGGAGGCCCGGGGACTAGGGTGTGTGTGATGGAGGGAAGGAGAGGGGGAGGCCATGCAGAGAAATAGCAGAGTTTATGGCTATGCTGGTTTGGGGGAACTGGGCGGTGAAATCTGGAGGGCCCCCAGGTTCCCTTCCCCTGGCGCGGTCTGACTGCTTCTAATTGAAGAACGAAGCACGCCGCTCTGCGGAGGGAGGGTAAGCTTAAGCTTCACAGGTAAACTGGCTTTGATCTTTACCCAGGTTGACTTTTAACAGCAACGGAGGTGGGATCTGCTGGCAGAATGCCCCATGCCTCGTGGTAACCTCCAGAGGCGCCCGCGGCAGTTTTACGCTTTATTGGTAACTGGAAGCCACTTAAGAGGTTTTGCGGAAGCAAAAAAAAAAAAAAAAAGAATTTGGGACTTATGGTTGGCATGTCTCCACAGGAGAGATTATACAGAAAGAAAAGTAATAGGGTGCAACTTTCGAGAGTGATTTAAGGAGAGACGGTTAAAAATGTCTTCGTATTTTTAAAACTGCGGTGAAGACTTTTGGAAAGCTGCTTTGTATCTTTTTCTACTTTTCTGGCACATTTTTGCTTTTTTTTTTACCTTTTGGCTTTATATTTGTTTTTATCTTGTTTCAACAAACATTATATTCTCCCCACCAAACAAAGTCACCTTAGATGCACTTCGGATGGCTTAATGCTTAGAACCATGATGGCAAACCTATGGCACGGGTGTCAGAAGTGGCATGCAGAGTCATCTCTCTGGGCACATGAGCCGTTGCCCATTGCTCTTGCAAGTTCTGGCGTGTCGGCTAGCTGGTCTTCACCATGCGCGTGCCGGGAAGATGGCCTTCTGGTTTCTGGCACGCGCATGCACACCAGCCACCTGGTCTTCCGGTTTCTGGCACATATGTGCACGCAAAGAGCCAAGGTGGCGCAGTGGTTAAATGCAGCACTGCAGGCTACTGCTAGATCAGCAGTTCAGCGGTTCAAATCTCACCGGCTCAGGGTT